ATGAACCTCATGATGGCACTGGATTAGTAAAATATTTTTGGTTGCAACCTTGTTATGGCTGCAGTATTCAAGAAGAAGTTGTACAAAGGACAAATTTGTTACAATTCACCCAGAGTTCCTTTTTTTCTGTTACCATGGAAACAATATCAGTCAAATTAATATGAGTGGGGTTTAGTAAAGACAGCCACAAATACCTGAAGAAGTATGTGCTTGTAAATGTTCACCCTCTGTGATTTATATAATGTAAGATGGCTGGAGAAAGCAAGCACTTCACACGTCAGGGCTATTAATTCTTTTCAATAAAACTAGCTCCTAAAAAGGCCTAGCCAAAATCTGAGTTGTACTGTACATATGCACACCTGATGATAAGCCGCTTTACCCCCAAGGAGTGCAGCAACCTAGGCAAACGCACAAGACAAAAGCTAAACAAACGTGGTGTTAGTTATCTTGAGTTTGAGCCTGTAAGCACATAGGTACATAACTGACTTTAAACACCTGAATGGTCTCACAGATGCTCACAAAGTTAGCAGTGGCTTAACACCCAACCCATGTTTCAATGTATGTAGTACTGAGGACAGATTCAGGTGCAGAGACATTTACTTTCCTTACTGCCATAGTCATCCCTTGGTGAGTAAGGCATAAACAATCTGCACGGATCAGGGAGTACATGAGACCTATCTTTCCCACACAGTTTTTGGCCATGCAAGGGATTAAGGAGTAATTTTTGTCCTGACAGGCTGCCATCCCCTTTTGCATATTGTAGATTAAACTGCTTCGGAGAATATGCATGAAACTTCACCCATCACTGCAGTCCTTCAAGCTTTGTATCTGGGGGGTAGATTTCCTAGTCACGGAGGTAAACAGAGATAAGAGAAGGTTAAGGAAAAGGAAAAGGGCAGCTCCCACAAAAGAAAATCCAATTCCTCCACAACACCTACAAAGCTGAAAAGTGTATGAACTCACCCATATAGTCCCTGGAAGTTGGGTCCCAGGGCACTTGGAGACAATAGAATCAGAGCCACTGTCCATCCACCTCTCCTTTTTTTTGTCTGTCTTTTTTTTCCCAGCCTGTATGCTGCAGCTATAGCTAATTTGTCTGACAGTTACCTTGTACTTGGTGCTGTGGTACGCAAAGGTTATTGGAATTTATATGCAAAGCTCAATGGATATAGAATTAAAAAATGCCTCAGAGACATTCCTGCAATGAGATGCCAAATCTCAGAAGTTGTATCTTTATGAGGAAAATTTGAATAGAAAACACCGAGTTTTATGACTCTTGCACATATTAATTCATACCAATCCATGTTGTAAGAGGACTATAGGGGCTATTTTTCACTTGGGCTGAGACAGGAACTCTGCTAGATTTACTGACTTGCTGTGAGAAATCTACTTTATCTGGCTGATAGATACCTTTAAAATGTAAATCAGAATGGTGAGCTTATCACAAGGCTACCACTAGGAGCCCATAAAATGCTTGGTGTTGCAGGTCACAAGAGATTTTGGGAACAAGGTGAGCAAACTGGTCAGCAAAAACAGATCCTAGACTTGACACTTTATTTTCTGTCTTATATGAAAGTTACCGGAACTGAAATCAAAACAACTTTTTATTATACATCCATCCCCTTCGCAACTAGCGATTTCCATGACTTTGTGGGAGAGTCTAGATTTTAGAAGATACTATTATAATTGTGCAGACTCACAGATTCTTACCTCATCTGTGGCCCAGGTGCTTTGTCTGTCTGGAGAGAAAAAGGAAAACCAGCTGCCCTATGAAAACCCCAGATGCTCTCCTTAAGGAGCCCTGCCCACCTCTGTTCTCTTCAATGTCCTATAGGTAGCCCTTTGGGTTTGTACCATATTTGCTGTGTCGTGAACTGGTCACTTCAGGACTACCTTGTAGAGAAACCCATGGCTCAGAAGCTTGAAATACCGATGCTGGCAACAGATCACAAAGGCTAGAAATTTCCTCTGCAAACAACCAATATTTATATTGATACTTTCAAATGCATTCAATAAGGGGAATGACAGCAGCCATGATATTTCCATCCTAGAATGGTTGTTACTGATTTGTCTTCCTGCTGGTAAAAGCACGTATTATGCTTGCTGTGTCTTTTTCATGCACACATGCAAGCACACACAGGCAGATGATGCTCTTTCAAGCCATCCACAGATGGTTTCCCCATCAGGGTTTACTTTGCCATTTAGATCTCCTGCTTCACAGCCTCCTCTCAGTGTTGCAGTCCCTATTTTCTGTAATTAACTTCTGTTCCTCCCCCCATTTTTTTTTACAAACACTTTTCACTCTGATGCTTAGAGTCAACCATCTCCCCAAAGCACTGTGATATTTAACAGCATCTGGGAAAAATGTGGTTGGAGAATTGGGACACTTAAAGGAGACATTGCTCTTGTAAGTGTGCATTCACATTTTTGAATAGATATTCAGAGGGTGCGAATATAGATGAGGGAGAAGATATGAAAGGGCTTATTACTAATTAACTGTATCTATTTCTCCCCCTTTTAAACTGCTTTTTGTTTATCATTTCAGCTGGTAGGGTAATACACTAAATTAAAGCTGCAGAACACAATTATAATTAAGATTCAAAAAGCCAATTGCCTGTTAGTAAACTACCAATTGATAATAATGTAAGGGATATTTATAGCTCTTTGCTAAGTATGCAGCAGATTTGCATCAATAACATACTTGTTAATCTCCAAACATTTTATTCAGTAGCCTTTTATTTACTATTGAAGGTAAGATTACTCTTCTTGAGCCATCCTTTCTAAAAGCATCTTGCTTTCATCTTGTTTGCAGAGTTCAGCAAATACAGATGCTTCAATCCTTTCCTCTTCTATGAAATAGTAATAACGGTATATAATTATTAACATCATACCATGCGGAAAACCTTGCCATAAAGAACATGCTATGCATGGTTCAGCTCTCATAACATCTTGCATTTCTACAGCTCCTTCTTTCTGAGTCATCTCACATATTCTATAGAGGGGAAACCAAACCACCTTACAAAGGAGAGGAATCGGCCACCTTTGGGCAGAGCCCCTAACATAGGGCCCTTGTTTTCTTTCCTTTCACAGGGAGGTGGAACAAGACCTGTTTAAAGAGTTTAAAAAAATTAACTGAAGTGATAGGTTTTGGTTTGTGTTTGGTTTGTGTTGTTACTGTGGGATTAATAACTAGCCTCTATGATTTCTTTTAATTATTATAAACCATCTGCATAACCATCATTTCAGCTATGTGATGAACTGTAAATAATTGCGATGTGACTTTTTTGTGAAATATGTTTCTTGTGTCATATGTTTGCTAAATTTTGCGTGGCGTTGTAGTACTAATTACTGGAGTCATTAGGAGACATTGTGTATTATCCCATCATGTGTACAGCATTAAGAAAACCAGCTTAGGCACAGGTGACTGTCTGCCATCCACTGCGTAGGCACTGGAGGGGCAATTGATGAAGCATGAGGGTGCCTCATCTCTTATTGTGCCATGACTGCTTTTCCAAAAGCTGCTAAGCTAACATGTTCCAAAAGCTGCTAAGCGTGTGAGTACCTATGTGATTGAGAAGGGATATGGTGTATACCAAGGACCGAGGACAGTGATGCAAAGTTACATGGTACAGTGATGTAGGTTAAATTGAGGCAAAACGGCCACATTGGAAATTATAGCCTGAGTCGTGCCTGCAGTTACTGCCACAAGTGAGGGGTTTGGAGACTAGGGCACACCATCTTGGCAAAAAAGCCTGAGAGATCCCTCACAAAAAATATAGCTCTTTGTCAACCTGCCCCTTTCCTCAAAGGGAGAATGAGGCTTAGAAATGAATGATCTGCCGATTCCTCAGCCCTCCTTGATAGCAGGGTCTGGGCAAGGGAGAAACAGAAAGAAAACAGTTTTACCTATATCCTGCACGTGTGGGAAGAAGGTCAGTGAACCTATGTAAAAAGATATTCCCAAAGCTGAAGCAGGGCTACAACTTCTTCCAGCCACAACTGGCCCTCCAAGTCAGCCTGTAAATACATTTTGTTTATTCTTCAAAGACACATACCTTACAGCTCAAGCTGGAAAAGCATGTGTGAGAGTTGGAAAAAAAAAGGGAGATAATGGTGCGAAGAGAAATAGGCAGGATGCAAGGGAGAACTGTGGATGCAGGCGAGAACCCCGCTGTCACTACAACAGAAAGGATTGCAGCATGTGAGCATGGGGACATCAGAAAGTTTGCCAGGAGCCTAAGGTAGCACAGATTTTCCCTGCATCTCTTCTCTTTGGAGCTAGACGATGTCATCCTTTCCATAGGTTGGCTGAGTGCAGGGTGAATCCAGGTGGTGATTATGCAAGCAATTTCTGCTTCCTGTGCTGCCTATCATGAATTTTATTATGGGTGGGCAAGTGAACTGACTCGCCCCAGGACTGGCCAGATAATTACACGGTCGTTACTAACCACATTACTGAAGGGTAAATATGCAGTTATTTTTATCCATAAAATCAGCTCTTTCAACCCTAAGACTAATTCCACATTATTATGCAGCAATATGTAATTACTATAAGACAGCTTCTACCCTCAAAGAAGCAGGCACTATTCCAAATGAAATCTTTCAGGGTTTTAAGTAAGCCATGCAATCTGACAGCAGGATTTGTCCTCTACCAGCTACCCAATAAAAAATGTAAAACTGTCATGAGAAAAACAGAAGAAAAACAAGACCCTATTACCAGGCGTAAGCATTAACAATTGCTATCCCATTCAGATTTTGAACGAAAACCAATTTTTTTTTAGAAAGAAATGCATTATGTGGGGAAACATGTCGCTATAACACTTAACGTTCCCATCCCAGAATGCTGATCACTCTAGGTGTGACTTCTGAGAGGAGGCACTGCGAAGTCTCTCTGGAAGTAGATGCTAGGTAAAACATAAGAGGAAAGGTAGCTACAGCATAACTACTGATGTTCCTTGTAACTCTTTTCATGTCTTGCAGGTACTGTTGCGTGATTTACCATGGAAAAACTGCTCTGCAGCATCCTGGTGTTTGGAATGGCTGTCATGGTCAACGCTTGTCCAAAATATTGTGTCTGTCAGAACCTGTCTGAGTCACTGGGGACTTTGTGCCCCTCCAAGGGTCTCCTTTTTGTACCGCTAGACATAGATCGAAGGACTGTTGAACTCCGACTTGGCGGCAACTTTATTATTAATATCAGCCGTCAGGATTTTGCCAATATGTCTGGACTTGTTGACCTTACTTTGTCCAGAAACACCATCAGTTACATACAGCCCTACTCTTTCACTGACTTGGAGAGCCTTCGGTCTTTACATCTGGACAGCAACAGGCTGCCTGACATTGGAGAGGATATTTTGAGAGGCTTAATTAACCTTCAGCATTTGATTTTAAACAACAACCAGCTAAGCAGCATCTCTGATGAAGCCTTTGAGGATTTTTTGCTGACATTGGAAGACTTAGACCTTTCCTACAATAACCTCCGAAGCATTCCATGGGAATCTATAAGGAAGATGATAAACTTGCACCAGCTCAGTTTGGATCATAACCTGATAGATTATATTACAGAGGGGACATTTGCAGATCTTCAGAAATTGGCCAGATTGGATCTAACATCCAACAGACTTCAGAAGCTCCCCCCTGACCCTATATTTGCCAGATCTCAAGTAATTCCATTAGCCGTTACCCCATTTTCTCCACCTTTGTCTCTCAGCTTTGGGGGTAACCCGCTGCATTGCAACTGCGAGCTACTGTGGTTAAGGCGACTTGACAGAGACGACGATATGGAAACTTGTGCTTCTCCCCCAGGTCTAAAGGGGAGGTACTTCTGGTATGTACAGGAGGAAGAATTTATTTGTGAGCCTCCTCTTATTACACAACATACTCACAAGTTGTTGGTTTTAGAAGGGCAAACTGCCACACTGAAATGCAAAGCCATTGGGGATCCCACCCCCATCATTCACTGGGTGGCCCCTGACGACCATCTCATTGGGAACTCTTCGAGGACAGCTGTCTATGAAAATGGCACCTTAGATATCCTAATCACCACCTCCAAGGATTACGGGACTTTCACATGCATAGCAGCCAATGCTGCTGGAGAGTCCACCGCAACAATTGAGCTCTCAATTGTTCAGCTCCCTCATCTCAGTAACAGCACAGGCCGAGCAGCCCCACCGAAATCCAGGCTCTCAGACATCACCAGTTCCAGCAAGTCTAATCGAGGGGAAACAAAAGGACCACCAGAAAGGGCTGTCCTGGTGTCAGATGTGACCACTACCTCAGCTTTGGTCAAGTGGACGGTGAGCAAGTCGGCCCCTCGGGTAAAAATGTATCAGCTGCAGTATAATTGCTCGGATGATGAAGTCCTGATCTACAGGTAAATGCAATTGCTGTTTTGTTCTCTGATGGTGGCAAGGGTAGGAAAGCAGGATATGAAGGCTTTTATTCTTAGGTCACTGGTTTGACTTTGAACTGAGGTAGCACTGCCACTGCCATCTGTAGCATTAGCGGTGTCTGATAAATTTGCATGGTGTCTGTCAGTTTATCTGTTGGTCTGTTCATCACTTTTCTGTCTAAGTCATACCTTACAAACCTCTGTAGTATTCATTCTCTAACAACAGCTGTTTTCAGTAAAATTTCCAATTTAGGAAAAAATAGTACCACGTTTGGTAGCCTCCTTACTAGGCTTAACAAAGAAAGAAGAACTTGACAGGCTAGAAGTCAGAAGTTTCCGTTTCCGCCTCCAGTAGGTGGGACTGAAACACACTGGTGAGAGAGAAACTGACGTGGGAGGAAGTTTGTGCTGTCTACCCGTAACACAGGCTCTAATTATTCTGCGATTCAAGATTTGGAGTTGTTAGCAAGAGATATTTCACCTATATGAAAGAGCTCGCTTCTTTCTTCACTAACATCTGTTTTACACAACTGTAATGGCTGTCAACTTTGGAGCATTTAATGTTTCATGCCATATTAAATGCAAGAAGAGATAGAGCTAATTTCAAAAGCAAGCCCTGAATGTTCATTACGCTCCTCCAGTTCCACAACTCCTCCAAATTTTAATGATGTAAAAAAAGAGTCTCTCTTGCAGTGATCCTAACTATGAAAAAGAAAGAAGCAATAAATTTTAGGAATTAAAAATGGGTAGGAAACTACTTAACAGAACAGGAAAACAGTGTTACTGCTTTTTCCCTCTGTCTTGGAAGAATGATTGTTGTAGTGTGTTCATGCTAATGATGAATCCCTAGAAACCACCCTTTCCTGCCTTTTTATTGCAGAAGCAGCAGTATCAGATACATTGAGCTGAAGTCTGTCTTTGGGTATATGTGAGCTACCAGCAGAAGTTAGAATCTCAGGACAAAGAAGAACCAAACACATAAACTTCTATAGCTTTACAACCGTCCTGAAGCCAGTGAAGAAAGTGGTAGAGGAATAATGGGATTTGGGTTTTGATTACAATTTGAGAGCAATCTCTGGCCAAAACATAACCAAAGCCATTGATTTCCTTGGTAGGCTTGGAGATACTATCTGCTGGCCTGCAAAATACTCTGTCCTTCTCCTACTGCCTGCAGTGAGAGCTGAGGCACCAGTCAAGTCATGATACTCAGCCTCTAGATCCCAGAACAGACCTTGCCATTTTCTTCTTTACCGTAGCGTAGTTTTCTTTAACCTGAGAAAGTCAAAACGAAAGGTAGTAAATGCTCATGTGATCTTTTTTGCTCACCCTTCTCCTACAATGAAATCTAATTTTAAAGTTGTTTTCAGAACTGAATGTTTAGTTGACACGGACAAAATTTTGTGCCAGAAATACTTTTATCTCAATCAGTTGTAGAACAGAAATAATAAAGTGATACATTTATCTGCTCCAAACTTAGCCACTCTTTGCCAAAAGAAGAAATATTGACAAGCAAGTCCAAAGAACATCTTCTTAAAAGGATATTTATTCAAATACTGAAAAAATCTGAGGAAATTCAGTTCTGTTCACTTTCGTTCCTCAATTATAAAAATATGTTGAAATAATCAAATCAATTAGCAGGTGCAAATCATTTGCCTTGCTCTGGCTAATGTACTGTGGAACTGGCATGTTAGCTTTGGGACTTGCGACTATGTGGAGTTAGGTAGAATGGAAGGATAAAATAAAACTAGGTAATGATAGAGTAATAGGAATAGAATGAAAGAAAATATGCTAGTGTCAGTTTTTCCTGAGGCAAATCTTTTAGCAAAAAACTCAACAGTATTTAAGACCTTGAGCCCGGTGGAAGTCTGAAAAAATCTGAAGGATGCGTATAGTCATATGAGCAATGAAAAAAAGAAAGAGACGTTAACCAGAAAGAGACATTAGTGGAGGTTGTCAGGTGTTGGAAGTGATTGGATGTGTCGATTTGCTGAGGAGGAGGATGTACAGGGTAAATAAAACGACCAATGCAGGAGCGAAGACATGCAATCTAGTAGCTGGAGGGGTGAGAATCGGGTGGCGTGGGCAGAAATGAGAGAAAGAACCCATCTTGCCAGCCTGGTCTGGAGGAACAAGGTGTCAGGCAACCCTGAATCCTTATCCTGTTCCCACTGCTGCCTCTCAGTGAGGTTTTGGCCCTTTCTTGCTTTACTTGGTTGTGGTTCAGTTTTCCAGAAGCACAGTGAGGACAGTGCTATTTCCATGAATCTCCCATCGGGCCTTTTTGAGGATTCATTGATGATGCATAGCTCTTTTCGTTCACAGCTTTCAAAAGCACTTCACCAAAGAAAACAAATTTTATTTCTTTACATTTTGCACTGGGGAAAAATGAAGCATAGGAAGATGAAGTGAATTGTCCAGCATCTGGGAGTTAATCAGTGGCACTCATAGTATCAAAACCAGCTCTTATGACTTTCAGCCAGGGAATCACTCAGTCCCTTAGAGTTAATTAACTAAAGCTGTTTTGCTTTAATTGGTCAGGTGCATGTCACTGCAATGAGCGTGTAGAAAAACCTAAGGGAAAAGGATTTCTACAGCGCTCTGCTCTATAAAATGCTGTGTATGTGCTAAATGGGATGTGATACTGCTTAGCTACTAAAATGATGGGCACTTAATATACGTTAAGATACATTGGTATGCCAGGACTGAGTCACACTGGCTGTGCTCAGCTTGAAGGAGTCCTGCCTCACTAGTAAGAAATGTTGTATGCACAAAAGAAAAAAAATTGCTACATTCTCTGCTAAGAATTTTTCATGAATATTGTACTCACAGTGGAAAAGTGAAAACAGAAGTTCTTCCCTCCCCATTGATATTAACGCCTCTCCTGACCATTACCCAGGACACCAGTCCCATTCTCACTTCCATCCCAGCCTTGGTCTTCCACTTACAGGAGCTGCAGATGGTGCAACGGGGACCGCGATGGGGTGCAATGGCCCCATGAAAATTCAAAGATGTGGGAGATAGTGGCAAGTGTTGTCTGTTGGGCCTCCTGATTTCACTGAGCTGAAATGGTATCAGAATCTGAAGTTTGGCTCTGGATACACCAGAGCCATCCTAATGAGGATTAGCAGGAGGAGCACTGTTTGTGTGCTTCCCCCATCTGACCTTCCCTTGTATTTAGTCTCGGGGCCATTGCTGAAGCTAGCAGCAGGTTTTTATCTCTTTCAGTGGATTCAGGATGCATGTTTCTGATACTGATCTAACGAGCACAGTCCTGGATCAGCACTCTGTTCCACATGGCTTCACAAAGTGAGAAAGAGAAGCTGGAGGGAAGGGAGTGATAGCTTGTGCAAACGTCTCAAAAAGGCAGCTTGGTCAATGTCAACTTGCAAAGACAACGACTGCCCCTAACATTGGCACCAAATCAATAACCTGAGGCTGCTCAGAGGTGACATGTTATATTATCTTTGCCACATCATTGGCAGAAGGGAGTGTTGCCTCTTTAATGGAGCACGCACTTAACTCTTAGTGGTATCTCAGAGCTTCCTTTTTGTGCCTTGATCTGTGCTCATATTGAAAAAGATCCTACAACAGGGGCCTGTGCTGGAGTCGTGTGTCACACACAGGCGAACACCATTGCTTTACTGATCTATGCGTGCTCCCAATGAGCTCTTTCTGTCTCTCTGACTTGTCCTTGCACTGTTTTTAGTAATCCTGCTGTCAAGATAATGATATTATTTCACCTGGAACAGAACCAGGATTCCTCTCTTTCTAGGCAGAGTGAGAGGAAAGCTTGTTTTGCTTTTTGTTTTGTTTGGGTTTTTTTTTTATTTGCTTTTCTTGCTTTTTTTCTTGTTTTGTATTTTTTCCCTTTTCTGATTTACGTTGCTTATTCATTCTAACTTTTCTTTCCTCATCACTTTCCTTAACTGTCCTATTCATCTTTGTGCCATTCAAAACCATGCTACCCTGGATGGAGAAAATGGAAATTATTGGTAATGTTATGAAGCCACATCATGGCCAGCAAGGGCAACAGAGAGAAGATAATAGATTGCTATCTATATGTTCTGTTTATACATACAGGTTTTGAGAGCGGGGCCTTTTAAACTGAAAATTAAAATTTCTCTGAGAACTGCAAGTAATTTTTTTAAACTACTATCACATAATAAGGTCCCTTGGCTGGCACATGTAGCCATGATTCATGCTGCTTCGATCCAGCAAACTGGGTATACATGGGCACTGATGGGATGCACCCATGAGTGCTGAGGGATCTGGCTTGATGTCAGTGTGAGGCCATTAACTCTGAACAATTGTGGCACTTGGGAAAGATACCTGAGGACTGGAGGAAACCAAATATCACTCCTATCTTCAAAACAGGCAAGAAGGAGGACCCAGGGAACTACAGGCCAGTCAGCTTCACCTCAATCCCTGGGAAGGTGATGGAGCAATTAATCCTGGAAACCATTTCCAGGAACGTAATGGACAAGAAGGTGATTGGGAGTCATCAGTATGGATTCACAAAGTCATGCTTCACAAACCTGACAACCTTTTACAATGAAATAATTAGGTTGGTAGACAAGGCGAGAGCACTAGATATCTACCTTGACTTCACTAAGGCTTTTGACACTGTCTCATAAGATCCTGGTAGAGAAACTGATGAATTATGTGCTGTATGAGCAATGAGGTGGATTTAAAACTAGCCAAATGGCTGAGCCAGGACGGTTGTGATTAGTGGCATGAAGTCTAGTTGGAGACCAGTAAATAGTAGTATACCTCAAGACTCAATACTGGTCCACAACCTATTTAACATCCGATCCTATTTCATATCTTCATTAATGATCTGTATGATGGTGCAGAGTGTACCCTCAGCAATTTTGTTGATGACACAAAACTGTGAGGAGTGGCTGATAGACCAGTGTCATGCTGTCACCCAGAGGGACCTTGACAGGCTGGAGAAATGGGCTGAGAGAAACCCCATGATATTCAACA